GGCCCATTCACATTTGAGTGTGCATTTACTCAGAATTGCACTCAAGGTCGCCCACGCCATACATACAAGCGGGCACGAGGGAACGGGAAGTCGACGTTTGGCTGAGGCACGAGGTCCTGTCTTGTCCAGAGCTGGCTCATGCGTGTTTTGTCCGAGTACTAGTGAGGGAGACTTATTACGGGTTCGGGGTTTCACCTCTGTGTACCGGGGACCGTAATAGACAAAGACCACAGTCAGGCGTTCTACGACTCTAGGAGTCAGTCTACGACGGACGATCGCAGCACAAAAGCACGATAGGCGAAAAAAGGGTTGCCGTGGAATCTGCCTTACCCTTGGAAGAGCTTCGGCGTGATGACATTAATGGGACAGTGTGGGGGTTCCAGGCGCCTCAGGTCGCGCAATTCCGCCTCCCGCTCAGACGTCGACAGGCGACAGTGGCGTGGCACGAAGGCCTCATTCGCAGCCGACGCATTCATAGAGGTAGAGGAGGAGGAGGAGTAGTAGCTGTCGCTTGCTGGCGGCCACGACGTCTGAGGGTAGTGCCCGCCTCCACCCAAGCCGTCCTCCGCGGAAATTTTCGAGCGCAGTGCTCTTGCAGCGTCCTACAAATTTGACCCATCGGAAACAACGACGTTCAACGAAACATAGATGTGTAATATGGCCTCAATCTAGGTATCACCGTCTTACTCGAGCAGATGGCTATTTTCATTCAATGAAACAACACCAACATTCCAAACGCAAACCTAAAGATACCTCTTCGCCTCAATCGTGTACATCTAAAGGTCAACGACGAAATCCGTGGATGTTGTGTAAACACACCTTGTACAGGAGTAGGACGCGGCACTGCTCCGTCTCCACACGATTCAACCAACCGGTCCAATGGTAGAGCAGGAATTGGGCCTCTTGATAGCGATGCTCGGCGTGCGATTCAGTGGACGCCAGTTCCTGGTGTGTCAGGCGTTTGGCCGAACTGACGATGTGCAGATTGACGAAGCGCGCGTGGAGGTGAACGTCCATCATCTAGGAGGGCGCGCAACAGAAATAATTCAATAAATTATCCATTTTCTCGTTGCAACGCTCCCTTCAAATGTCGCGACAATGCACTCTACCATTGTATCAACTCGTTGTGACGCCCAAAACCGATTGTGTATTACCTACTACCCTGTCTCGATTATGGACAAGCCTTCCAGTAAATCAGAATTCGAAAAAAATGTGGGAAGTGAAACTGTTGAGGCACTCGGACAGTCGATGCCCTGAAGGACGTAACCGCGGTTCTTGACTACTGGCACTACGTGGGCTTCAAGACCGCGCCACTTGATGAAGTCGATTTAAATTCGACAGTGACCACTGCCAAATCACGCAAAGTAGTTGCCAGCTGTGTGAACAATTCAAAAAGTGTTTTTGGAGAGCTGTCTGAGGTAAAAAAGTGCCCTGGAGGATTTTCAGACGCTACGCTAGACGACGATTTCCATTTACGTCCCTTTACCGGCGATTGACTGGTGACGAATTAAACAACGAGAGAAAGAGTGATGACTGAAGTTAAGATCTCTCACGAATAGACGCAAATCTCAACACAACAGCAGCTCATATATGAAGCGTAGAGTCCAATTTGTCTGGATGACGTGAATGGCGCAGCTGCGCGAGAAAGATGCTGTGTGAACGTTGCCTAGTCACTCCCACTTGAGCCAACTGACCTTGCACTTCAGTATTCACCCCTGATCCACCATGGCGACGCATCAAGCACACGGGCAACAAACTCCTCACGCGCATGAGCTAGTACAATTCATCGACGGTTGAGCTTCCACTGTCCTTGATCACCTGATGTTCGCCGTGGAACTACATGTCAGTAGCATCAGAAAGCTTGCGTGGCAAGGTCAGGACCCTGCCCTACCCACGCAGAGCTCAAATCCTGCCACCAAGAACCTACCAGGTTGTCGTAGTAGCCGGTGTAGTCCAGCACGTCCTCAGAGAGGATGTCCTTAACGTGGGCGGACGCCAAACAGACGACTAGTAGAGCGAGCGTGCCAGCACAAATCCGCCTCACGCAGTCGGGCCTCATGAACTAACAGAACCAAAGAAAGGCAGACGCGACGTCAGTTAACCAAGAAAACAAAGCCTCCTTTTTGTCTTCAAAAGAAACACACCGTCTTGAAGGCAGATTTGGCGCCCTTCCTGAAACGATTTCTCTTCATCAAACGCCTTTTCAAGCCTACAAGAGTTGAATCAGCGACGAGGTAAAACAAGAAGCGATGCCCTGATTGGCCAAGTGACAGTTTGTGTGAGCGCTAACTAGAATATCACTCACCTTTATCCGTACAATCAATGACAATGGGTTCGCCATAGAGGATGCGCTCGGCTGTGTCCACGGTGTGGAGGACGCGATGAACCAGCCAGAATCCGTCCAGGAATAGAGCGAAGCACAGCAAGTGAACCCAGCTGAGCTGGAAGACGTCGGCGAAGCCACCACCACCACCATCACTATCGCTGGAATTCTCGCCTGCATGCTTACCACCTGGTGTTTCTGATTGGCTCGAGGGCTTCTTCTTGCCTGAACCTGATTGGAGCACTTCTTTCGGCCAGTCGGCCTCGCTTTGGTCAGGTTTGCCATCTGATTCCTCATAAACCGACCACGTCAGCTGGTCAGTTTCCTAAAACCGAAATGAATCATAGAGCACTCAGGCATTGTGACGGGCAGATGAGGCACCGGAAGGATTGAAATCAAATCCACTCACAATATCAGTCGCGTCGGACACGAATGGAACATATGAAGGTCCGTATCTCGTCTCGAAGGCATCGGCATCATTATTCAGGTGGGAGAATTGATTGTCATCGAGTGTCTCCTTCCAAACAGGTGGCGTGGGGATTCTCAGCTTGTCGGGGTTGAAGGTGGGCAGGTTGGGGGGTAAATTGAAGCCCGTGAAGGGCATTTGCGAATAGGCTGAGTCGTGTGGCAGTGGAAGGAGTTTGGCCCACTGAAGGAACGGTCGGGTGGGATCAGCAGGGTCAGGCTCCAGGCCCCGCAGACGCGCCACTTCCTCGTAGATTATTCGAGCGCCTGCCAGCCAATCGGAAGCCGCGAGAATGTTCTCGGTTCCCTCGAGGTCAGCCTTGAGCCTGCGAATCGCCCATTGGGCTGTGGAGTTGAAGGTCGCAAGGCCATTAGCGAATTCAAGCACTGCGGCGGCAGCGACAACGCGAGCGTATTCTGCGGCAGCTTGCGACACCAAAACACGACTGCGACGGGAAGCCGCTCGCCTTGAGGCTACGTCGAAGGCCTGCAATTTGAAGCAAGCACGCAACAGTCAAGTTCTTGGGTTATCACAACCGCCATAGGGCTACTTAAGTCGATATTACCTGTTCCATTTTGTCGAACATCTTTTCAATGCCAGAGGAACAGGCCTCGTGCATCGCCAGCGCCTCCTTCTGCTGTCTTCGGAGCTCCACCTTCAAGTAGGCGTCCATGGAATCCTTTAGGAGCTTCTGCCGGGCAATGCTAACAACTGATTGGCTGTAGTCAAGGCCACCCATTCCACTCCACTCCGCCATATTCGCGAGCTGTTGAGCCGATTCCCTAGAAGGGTGACAGAACAGGCACGTAGGTGATGAGACCACAAAGTTTCCACCTCTCCGAATTTAAAAGTTCCAATTCCACAGCTGGGAGAAAATGCAGACGCCGAAATGACAGCCTTACCGAGTGAAATAGCGAGTGACAATGATGAGGGCAGTTAGCGTGACGCTGAAGGTGTAGGCTGATTTTAAGCAGAGGTAAATGACGAGGACAAAGACTCTTCTCCAGTACGTCAGCGGAGTGACCTTGTCTGGGGGCCGGAAGGTGAAAATGGCCGCGGAGGTTGTCGCGTTGGGATCGGACGTCTCCGCTGGGGCACAGCCGATCCAGTAATGCGAGGGATCTGTTTGCGACAAAATGAACACATAAAATACTACATTTACGAAAAGTCACATCGGGGACAGAGGCAGAATTGAGGGACATTGAAACGGCTTGAGTAAAGTGCGCAGACATCGCACAAAACACATAGAGCACGCCCTTCGAGTGGATTGGACCCGAACCGAATGACCTTGAGAAGACCCCAGCCTGATTGGATAAAGGCCGACCACACTCACCGGGCTGCGTCACGTGACCAAGAACGTGGATCACGAATAGGAGGAGCAGGAAGAGGATGAGGATGTAGACGACCTCTGCGGGCGGACCAATAGGGATGACGCGGGTCACGGCGACAGCTTTGCCTCCGCCCGCCAATGGCTGTGCAGCCGGCTGAAGTGTTGTTTTCAGCGGACGCGCCGATTGGTCAGTGGCGCCACCAACGGGGTCGCGTAACTGACGCGCCGCTAAACTTGGTATGAGAGCCGCCATGGAGGAGAGGGAGCCTATTTCGGTAAAAGAAAACAAAAAAATGTGGGAGCCAGGTTGCCCAGACTGCTACCACCACCCTCTGATGAGCCAAAATCTTACTCGTGGACGAGCTTGTGTACATTCGACGTTGGCGCATCTCAGCAGGTGGCTGAACGGCACGACGCACGCGAATGTCAAGGCGGTTCTTGGCGTCGAGGATGACCAATCGGAAGGACTTTTCGTAGTCCGGTTCTTCGTCTGGTGCTGGTATAAGAATGCGCAGCTAAAAGTGGAGGCGGAATGAGATAAAAACTACCTCGAGTTGTGAATAGGCTTTAAGCAGATTGGCGCTCATTCTACACACCTGAAATTTGTTCTCTTCAAACACGCCAACCTCGTAGTCGAGGAGTGGCTCTCCATCGGGCAGTTTTTCGTGTTCTGCCACCTCTTCGCTGGGTTCACCGCCTCCGTTGCTTCCAGGCACCTCCTCAGGGTAGACCTTGAACCGAAACAGGCCCGGAAAGTGCGAGACCTGGCCCCAGACATCGATGACCCAGTAGCTGCGTTGGATGGCGCTCTGTCGGTTTCCAACAAACTGGTGCTGCTGGTGCTTTTCCGCGTCGTCGCTTCCGTCGACGCCGTAATTCAGGTCAAGAGTGAGAGTGGCGCGCAGTGAGTGACCGCGTTCCACCGACGTCGGCTCGAAGATGCTCCCAAGGAAGGAGGCCTCCCTCGACAGACTGAAATTGAGCTAGCAAACAAACAGGTAGACAGATTAAAAAACACAGAGCCGATCAATCGAATCAGGCTGGATTCAAGGAAGTGGCCCTGGGGCGATTTGAGACTACATGCCAGGGTTCACAATGCAACAGAGTAATAACGACTAATGCCCGTGTATTATATGGTGTCCTTTTGCTGCGATGGCATTTGACTGCTTGGCAGGTACGTGGAATCGTCAATGTTCTCCCTAACGTCACGAAATGCCTTCTGATGTGTGGTGGAGTCTTAAGTGCTAACATTCATTTAAGGCTCAATGCTAGCACATTCATGACACGCTGTTTCGCACTTATGAGATGCAAATGGACACACAACAGCACCAAACACGGCAAGACAATAACTGTCTAATAAAAAGCGGTGTTCCTGTCCTCTCTCGTGGGTATCAGGGTAACGTAATTGGGCTAAGTTTAACAAAGTGGCCCGCAATAAACCTTTCAGGTATCCTCAACGCCGACTTCCCCCTCAAAGGACTACGCACAAAACAGTGGCATGCTCCGCCGACGAATCACCAAACCCAGTGTGCGCTGGCAGTCTTCATACTTAGTTGTGTTCTAAGCCGATAGTCAAGCGGGCTTTAAGAAGCTAGGGACAACTGTCTGCAATGAAACCAGATGCTGACTTACTTTGGGCTTGATGCGAACATGCGAGATTGAGTAGAGGTAGGGGGCTTTGTAGTTGACCTGAAACAAAAAGGTTTGCAAAATACTGCTAGTTGCTGAATGGCTGAAGTGCACGGTCAAGTTAGTTAAAAGGATAGTCCGCTGAAGGACAACGTCAGATTCAGGATGCTGCCACAGTGAAACAGCTTTACAGTGAAAACACGTTCTTCAGTTGTGGGTTGCTAATTATAAATATTGTAGTGTTTGAAGTGGAGTAAAGGTCGGTTTTTTTTAAAAAAAGGTAGCAGAAGCCTATAGTTGTGCCGACCCGTTGAGGTCAAGTTGTGAGACTTAGCTCGTGCAATTAGCTTTTATCCAATCAAATAGGGGTCTGCTCAAGGTCATTCGGTTTGGATCCAATCCGCTCTAAGCAAGAGCTGCGTATTTTGTTAAAGCCGTCATCACGTTTTACGACCTTCTGCTCGGTGCAGAAACACACAACCGGTAGAGTGACTGCCACACCGGCGCCCGTCAATCAGTATTTTGATTGTCGAAGTAGGTAATGGCTGATGGCGAGATCTAGCCAAACGAAGCGATATCTTCTTAGGGGATGTCGTTGAGTGGTTGCTAGGCCCATTTAAATGCTTTTTCTTTCAAAAATTGCGGAAGGGTTAATCCCAAAGTGAAGAGGAGAACGCTTTTGAGTTTGGTGAGAAAATGGCCCTCGGAGACATTCACAGCCAATAGGCTTGCAAGAACACTCCAAAGACCCTTTCGATGCTTCTCCTTTGCTCTAATCGACTGAGTTACAGCAGCAGCAACAACTAAACAAATTGAAGCATGGAACCCCACGCAAAGCGCTTCCACAACCGAGCTAGAATGTTCGATAGTGGGGGAGTCGACGCTAGCCAATCCGCTAACCTGGACGTCAGTCATGCCGATGTAGGGCGCCAGAGCTGGCGTGTAGATGTTCAATTTCTCCAGAAGCGGGTCAGCAGAAGCGCACGGCGCAGCTGACAGTCGACGCCAGAGGTCCGTGTTCACCTCAAAGGGCTTTGAAGGCCACACGAGGAGACTGGGCGTCGCGGCTCCACTTGCGCCTGCCTGTGCAGACGTCGATACGGGAGGGAAGGGTGACAGGAAGGGATAACTAAGCGTTCCACTTGACCCTTCATAGCCATCGCTCCCAGATACGGCATTCTGAAGCAACGGAATTGTCTGCAGAACCAACACAAATAAACTATTAGATGTATGACCTTTCAGTTGTTTAAAAAAATATGCTTTTTAAAGTGTTTAGTGCAAGGTTTTTAGAACACCGAATGTAAAAAAAATTGTCATGTTAGCTCCGTACAACCCTTTGTTTTACTATACTCTTTTAGTTGGAACACCATTCAAACTCTTCAATAGTGGTGAGAACTCCTTTTGCTGTTGTGTGCACGTACTGTTTGCTCCACGTATTGTCGCAGTATCTATTGTTTAAGATAACCGCACCGTTTTTCTACACCGAACAACACGTCTACGCGAGTTACATGGCATCTCAGAATGGCAGACTTTACGACGATGGCACCTGGTAAACAGCACATTCGAAATCAAATTCCAACAAGGTCAAATGCCTCTTAAGCGCAGGAATCAATTTGTGGTGTTCTTGGTGCAGGTTTTATTAGAAGTGGTGATTTCGGTCTTAGTGACCAGCCGCGACCCGGAGAGCAGCCTCGTATACATCAAGTCACACACCTAATGTATAAAGAGGTGAAGAAACTAATGGGCGATTGCGTAGATGGTGAGTGGGTACCTGAGTGCTCCAGTAGTACGCTGCTTGGGTGCTGGCTGATCCGCTGATGATGTCTGGAATGTGCGACAGGCCCAGGGAGTAGTCGACATTCAGGAGTCCACGCAACAACTGATTCAACGTTCCACCAGGAAGGCGCTTTACAACATTATCTGCAATGCGGGTGGAGTTTAGTGAAATTGGATAAGCATGAAAACAAAGCCGCTGCGGGAGACGGCGGAGACGTACCTGAGTGGCCAGCTGATGAGTGTCCTCCTCCGCCACTCCACATTGATTCGCCATGCAGCCCGCTGATTGGTTGATTCAGGGACAAACTTGCAGAGAACGTCTGTTTGGTCGACGGGTGGCCATTGTGAAGGAGAGACCAGCGCAAGCGATAAATCGGTCGGCTTCGTGCTGGCTGCACGTGGCAAATGAAGGGATTCTCTTTGGGCCATTCTGGCGTCAAGCGGAAGTCCAATCTGGTCCCTAAATCAACAAACAATGGTTACGTGTTCCGAAGCCCAGTTCCAAGCATCCACGAACCAATGATCACGGGCGTTGGCGTGGAAGACACAAAACGGTGCCAACAAGGCCGCCGAAGTGAGTGGGCAGGTGAGTGAGTGCTTACCGCGGCTGCACAGTCGCATGAGGCATCGATGCGCGGAGTACTTGCCACAGATGTACGTGCAGTTGTCCCTGGCACAGCAGTCGAAGCACGTCTCCAGACGACCAGAGCGTCCGTTGTCGGCCGGTCCAGCGGTGGGTTTGCAGGAGAGAGAACTACTCTTAATCTCCTCCGCGCAGCTCACCAGACACGCTCGACAGGCCTCCTTCAAGTGGGCACATCTGCAACAGCAGAAACACGAGTGTTCCAACCGACACCAACACATCAGGGGAACAGAGGTGAAGAGAAGGCGGCGGTAGAACGCTGTGCCAAATAACTATGCTAATTGGTAATCAATAATGTTGGGTTTCTGCTCAAGAAAATGTTCTCAAAGTGTTGGGGATCCACAATTCCCCAATATTGGTTTCTGATTTTATTTACATTAATTTATTAACATTTTTTTTGTTACGCCTTTTTTAAGTCAAGGTCAAACTTGACTTGAATTAGTTTTCAAATTACTTTCGATTTCACTTCTTCTCCGCCCGTGGCTGACGTGAATAAAGCTCTCTACTCGAGCTCTGGTCTTGTTCTTGTATTAGCCCGGGAAGGTCGGTTCTAGCTTCAGCTAGGGATCTGGTACCGTTATTTGAGTGGTATTCTCTATTGTTACGGGAAAACGTATCACAAAGTGAAACTGGAGAATATTTTCATTGGCTCACCATTTTGACTGCTGATTGGCTGGTCCAAGGATAAACTTGGGGAAAAAGTGGGTTCGTACCTATGGCGCCAACTGAGTAATGACTCCTCACAGATGCCTAACTATCAGTGATGCATGGTGACATGACGAAGTAAGCGTGTTTGCAGTAGTGCTTATGAATAATGACCAATAAAAGCTGGGGATAAGTCATTTCCACCAATCAGCTTGCATCCAACCCGGTCGATTGTTGCCACAAGGTCATGCAAGACAGGTGCTCCTATTGTGTGATTGTAAAAGTTAATGCAAGATTCCAGGTCAAATTGAAATCAGCACATTTGAGTACAAAACATGGATTTGTTACGCATTCCAGCTGTCATGAAATCTGAAAAAAAGCGTCTTTGTTATTGCCTGTGGTAGCTTTGACGCTCAATCATTTTTTTTCAATTCACGTCACAAAACACAACAAAATGCAAATTTTCAAGATACATTTACGTAAATGTTAAACGATGTTATGATAAAAGAAGCGGCAGCACAGTCAAAATGTGCACGTTTCTGCCATGCATGAAATTCATGCACGCAATTTGAAATCAACCAATAATGTGCTCCGACCTTGAAACGGATAAACCTACTCGGGATTGGCCAATCAAAATCGGGTTGCTGAGATTGACTTTTAACCCAGTCCAGAGCAATTAAGGCTAGGCCTGGGAACAAGCTGCCAACAAACTGGAATCACGTGACCCCGGTTAGCCTGAAAAGCGTGTTTTCGTCCAATTTGACGGCGGATAATTTACAACCTACTGAATTTTCTCCTCGTAGAAGGCAGTCTGTGGCGCAGCCAACTCCTCATTCCACTTGGGTCCGAAGATGGCGGGTAGTTTGGAGGGCTCGAGGCACGAGATCGTCGGCGCCTCAACGAGCTGCGACCTCCGCCGCTGGCTGCCGGCGTCATCGTCACCGCCGGGGTCTGAGTAGAAGCCGCCCCTCGCTGGTCGATTGTCGTCCCCGCCAAAGGCGTTGGCCGCGTCCCCGTACCAGTCGCCGCGAGTGTCCCCACCTGGCGCAAATCCCAATGGCGGGAAGTAGCCGTGCTGCTCGTAGGTTGTGCAGCTGGAGAGGATCGGTCGGTAGCCGGGGAGACTTTGATCGGGATCCGTGGATGTCGTCACGTTCTGCGCAAGGTCAACACACCAGGGAGGTGAGAACATGCGCCCACACCAACCAACTAGTTACAGTGGCAGCAGCAGAACTGACCCTGTGCACAAACATTGTGAGGTGGTAAACAGGGGGTATTGGGTAGGGACACAAGCGTGCGAGCGTGTCATTGGCCCGATGCCAGAGTTCGCTCAGACCCGAGGGCGATGCGGGATCGGAGGCGGCGCTACCGCCGAACCACTGGCGACTGTACATGTCGTCCGCCGTGGAGGACTCCGCGCGCGCCGATGCCAGAAAATGCGCGTTGTCGTTGCTTGTCGAGTGGTTCACCGGCTCTAGAATCGGCTCCAGATGCACCATCTCGAAATCCAGTTGCACCTTAAGGCAAAACCACCACCCAGGTTAGAAACGCGGGGAAATTAGCTGGAGGTGCATCGAATCCCACTGCCTACCTGATACCCCGAGCCGCGGTCAAGGATGACGGTGCGGTTGACGAGGAGACGGCGTTGGGTCTCAGCCGTGAGAATGAAAGACACGTCCCTGACTTTGCGCTGGTCCTCAAACCACACGCGTCGCTTGTGTGGAATCACGAGCTCTGGAATTATGTCCTTGCCTAAGTAAAAACAAACACACACGGTAAGTTTACGCGTGATCAAATGGCAAAAAGAAATCAAACCTACGTCTGCATTCACGATTGCTGGATCCCTTGCACGGTGTGAACTCGAATTCCTCCGAAATGCACAGCGGACGACAAGCTAAAAGTCCACAACGAAGAATAGCAAGTCCTCATCTCCGGCATGTATCAAAAATGTAAGGAAATGCGCACTAATGCAGAATAAGTAGGCTGTTATTTACGTCACTTGCTAACGCGCCTGGGATATCAGCTCACAATGGTCTAGTGAAAAAAGTATGACTACAAAAGGCTTTACAGCATTTTGTGCAGAGCCATTATGCTGTTTGAAATTAATGCCTGGGAAAAATTTGCAGCAAATGACCAATCAGAGACGTCACAGTTCTCACCGACTGCACATACAAAGGGATTATTTGACAAGGCAGGAATGAAGGCCAAGCACAACGTGTTATCATGACATACCTCGGCAGACGAGGTCGCTGTAGGGTGTGCAGGGACGAGCAATGTACATTCCAGCCGGACAGCCATCAGAGCATTCTACAAGGAGAAAGCAGAGACAGGAAATGAGGACAATAGGTTGATGCGGTAGAGCGGATGGAGAGGGGGACTTACTCTTGCATTCGAGAGGCTGGCCACGAGAGCAGTTTCCGTACAACCAGAATCCCTGTGGGCATCTAGTATCACAAGCTAAAAAAAATAAACTGTACTATTTGAATTGAGTACACAGATTATTTAAGACTTCAGCATGTTGGGCATCCTGTAAGTTCTTCAGAGCTACACAAACGGCATCGGCTGGGTCGAACACACGATACTGGGGCACTCGCAATTCAGCCAGGAAGCTGATCACATGTTCCTATTAACACAAACATCCAACAAACATAAACATAAACGTTCAATGTTTACGTCTTGCACGCACGCACGCACGCACATGCGCTTGCATTTCAACTGTCAAAACAACCGAAGACGCCCCGGGGCACCCTTTATGTCCGAAACAATTAATCAAATCCACATTGCCAGGTGTGTTTACATTCCAACTACGATCGGTCTCATTTCTAGCTTACCCCTAACCTCATCCTCTAATTTTCTGACACCCTGATCAGCCTTCATGCTATTGGTCGCTTCAGTATACGCGCCTGCTCATTAATTGGTCAATTTAGTGTTGCGTAAAAATAGCACAATAATCAATAAAAGGGTCAGAATTTCTGCACGGAAGACACGTTTTGGAGCAGAGTCAATACCAGCCAGCGAATAACACGCTAAAGGCGTCGTTACTCAAAACCTTCGTGAACGACTTTGACGCGTTGTGTTCTTAGGTTACGTGGAAGGTCAAGGAGGAGTAGCATCTTCCGTGGAAGAAATCGGTCAGAGCTCTAATTGAGCAAATTGACAAAAAAATCGATTGATACTTTTATGTGTACCAGAAAATCAATACCTATACAAAAATACATTCGAAATTCAACAGAATTCGTTCGTTAAAATGATGACTGACTTGAAAAGAAACAAATTTGCCCATTCAACCTCAAAATGGGGCATGTTTGGACCAGTTGGTGGCGTGAATTAATCCCCACTTGCAAAAAAGGCGTCACACACATCGACGTTTTCGTGTAGACAGTTTGGTCTAGGCAAACCCCTTGCGTTTACACCAAGCCGCTGATTATCGTTAAGATTTGCACACGGATAAATAAACTGTGAGCCCAAGATAGTAAACATCGCCTAGCGACTAGACTATAAAACACCGACCCGCAGTACACTTCCATCCAATAGTCGAGATGCGCGTCTACACAATCATCCTCCTAGCTGTTCTCGTGATTGGGGCGAAGTGAGTGCAACATTTGTGCTAACTTAGCAATGCTTTCTAAATTGTCCCTGTCAATTCCTCGGAGCCAATCAGGAGGCGCACAGGCGACGTCGAACCAATCAAATTTTGCCCACTAAAAACATCATTTCTTTGTCTTTCAGAGCTCAGAAACCAGAGGTCACGAAAGGGTAGGTCACTTTGCTTGCCTTCACCTTGGTCTCAGAAAGGTAGGTTCTCGGTTTTGTTAGATTCCGTGAACGTGGGCTACTGGTCCCGTCGTGTAGAAGGACTACGTGCGATCGATAAAGGACTACATCAAGATGCTTGGTGAAGAGACGAGCAAATTCCTCAGCGAGGACGAATTGGGCATCAGCATGCTGGAGACCTGGAAAACTGCAATTGAGTTGATGGACAAAGGTACGCCTGCTGTTTCGCCGACACACTACTAATGCAACTTTTGCAGCCAGAAAACGCGCCACAATTCAACTGGGGAAGTGGATCATCGCGATAATCGATTACAGCAAGAAAAACCAACCAAACCAGCAGTGATCTGCGAGGAGAAATAAATAATTGTGCCAGGCCAAGCCTATTCTTCTCCGTGGGGTGTGGTTCGGTAGCGAGGGTGAAATTGAATTCCCGCTCTTTGTGTGACCTTGAGATGTTGATTTAGAGCCAATCGCGTGTGCTCACGAGCAGCGTCCACGAGCTAGAGCTAATGAGCAACTTTCGAGGAAGCTAACTAGAGTCTTACAGGAATTTCAATGGCATTTAAGAAATAGCGAACTGTTTGACGCATCTAATCCTGCAACATTCTCGTAAAATCGATACCGAGTAGACTAAATGTTTACCATAAGAGGTTACAAGGTCAATTTTCGCGTTTACATCCAAATTAGTATAAATATGCAAGAACTGAGAATTCGTGCTACGTGGACAATGCAACCAACGCTGACAGTGTTGGCGATTGTAGTGCTGCTTGCGGCTGTCGCTTCGGCTGATCCCCGAGAAAGAGTAAGTACCAGTATCGATTAGAGTAGCCCACTTTGATGGTGACTCGCGTGTGTGCGTGTGTGTCTGCGGAGATCCCACTCAAGTACACTGTTTCGATTTTAAAGACTGGTCCCCAGAGGGGTATCGTGGAGATTATCAAGCACGCCCAGAACTATCTGAGGAACACGCCCGATGGACAGAAGGTCACGACAGCACTAGGCAACTTACAGGATGGCATGCTGCAAGGTGAGGCGCAAGGCTAATCTCTCCCCTAACTCACGCCTTTAGCTTACAAGGCCACGCGAACGCTGCTGGCGGTCTACATTAAAGGCCTACTCGCTGAAAATGAGTAGTTTGAATTTTACGGGTGGACTTTGCTTAATTCCTAATTAACTAAAATAAACTCTGATTCACTTTAAAACACAAACGCATTTCTTCTTCTTGTGATTCTTCCTTTGGGCGACGTCAAATCAGGTATGGAGGACTGACGATGAAAAACACAGGGACGGCTTCAAGGTCATGAGGGCTAAATGTAGGGTGAGTTAAAATAAAAAATGCTACTGAAAGATGATGTTAGTAGTAGATCTTCACCAACTTTGAAGAAAACCGATGCCTCCCAAACCCCACATCTTTGACAGATTTTTGTCCCAAAATTGACGTACTCAACTCGCGTCATTATGTCGGAAGGATAAGAACACACGTGGCGCGATAAAACGGCAATATTATTGCTACAAAGACGCCAAAAATAACCGAAGAAGAACGAGAACGCGCAGTCTACGTTGCACAGCTGCACGGTGAGCCCGTGTCGTAGGACCCATCACAGAGGCAAAAGATTTCGTCCTTCGCACTGACCACATGATGATCACCGTCCAAACTAAAATGGTGCCTGTGATTGGTGGAATTGCGTGAGTTCGCGGTATCCCCGCCATCACCATCTACCACGCGTGTCCCCCTGGAGCCGTCTTCGTTGGGGTAACGCGTGTCCAGTGTCAACGAGGTCGTATTGGTTGGCTGCTCGTGGCAACTCGTGTCGTCGCGTCGCACCACGTCAACTGCGCACTGCCGAATAGGAATGCGACTGGCTATGCACGCCTTCACGCGATCAAGGATCGCATTGACTGCTCTGTAGAGGTGACGTTTCACAACTTCGACGCCTACAAACCCGCTAGACCAAACAGCGTCTTACCAGTGTCGTCGTCGTAACAGCGTTTCTTGAGTGAAACCAGGTATCTCTCGACGTCGGACTCCACGAGAGGCTGGAAAACATGAAATACACAAGCGATCGGACCTGGAATTCGAAAACGCAGCTTCTTCATTGGCGTTTCCACAACTCCAACAAATTGCACTACTTATGTTTAAGCTGGATGAGTCAAAGGATCGCCAGAAGTGGTGTTTACGATAGGTGGAGGTCGCCAGCACAGCAAGGAGCTATGAAAACACCCAACATACCTTAGAAGCGGCTGAGGTCACGAGGGCAACGAGGAGAACGATAACAGCAACAGCGGGCTGCATGGCGCGCGGGCTAGTGACAGGCACCTGGCAGTGGCAGTTAAATACCAAGTAGGGACAGTTTACACGCGAACGGCGAGGGTCATTTTGAGGCCAGGTAAACACTCGCGAGGCCATGCACTTTACTAGCAGCGACTACAAGCCCCACATTTAGTGCTCCACTGGACGCTTCGCTGAAACAGCCATCCGTACTAAACTAAATGACATTGCTCTGGGCGCAGCGATTGTGGTGACGGTTCGTTGATGGAGGCGGCGGTGGAGGCAGCAGTGAAGTGTCAGTGAAAGCAGCGGTGACGACTGTGTCGGTGGAGGTAGCGGTAATGGATGTAAAGGTTATGGTAGTGGTGATTGTGTCAATGGTGGTGGCGGTGATGGAGGCGTACATGGAGGTATCGGTGATGGAAGTGTCGGTGGAAGTGGCAGTGATAGATGTAAAGATTATAGTGGTGCTGATGATGGTGTCGCTGATGGAAGAGGCGACGGCGGAAGAGGTGAAAGTGACGCTGGTGAAGTCAGTGATAGTGGCGTCGGTGGTGGTGGTGGTGGTGGTGGTCGTCGTCGTCGTCGTCGTCGTGCAAAAGGCACAACCAACTTCAAAATGAACGCCTACTTCTCAAAGACACTTCCAATTCCACAAGACCCCAGATGTAATGAGACCATAATTCGCGAAAGCAACGACTGACAACGGCACAGTTAAACAGCAAAAGACTGAGTTGGTCTTGATGCCAGGCACATCCCACGAATACCATCGACACCCTGTCGTCAGCCACCTACGTAAAACGCACGATGGTGTCAACTTGGAGAGCTGCATGGTGAAGCGTTTCCAAGCAACCGACCACTTAATCCGGTCGCTCCAGCCTACGACACAGGGTTTCCCCTTTTCGCAGCATGTCGCCAGCCGTGCGGATCCTCAAATCCCCCTTCATTTACGCGACTATTTATCTTGGATTATCCTCACACCCACGTATGACTCACGTATCCGAGGTATAAATACACTCGCGCAAACCCCAAACACGACACCAACGTGGTTGAGCTCTGAAGTAAACGGTTGTGTCCACGTCCTCTCCTATCTTTTTCTTCATCGGGGGCATCAGGGAAACGTAATCGGACCAGGGTTAATTCCGTGGCCTCGGCGTGGTTCAAAATCACATGCCGGAGCCAACAACCGTAGAAAAAAACCGATGTTCTGTCAGTTTGCAAAGCCCAACTTCACATGCTCCACAATTACAGTAAGTGGTTGTAACAAAACGCGTCGAAGAAAACCACGTAAGCATCGAATCCCGCTAGAAATGACAGTTAACGGAGACATCGAGAAATAGCTCTAGATACGAAGATGGGCAACAGCGGCCCATCGAATCAGCTAGAGCGGAACCTTGAGTGCGCGGAAACCCATTACGGTTATACAGGACAAAGAAGGTATATTGACTGCCGCAGTAATTTGTGCATTACCGGCGTTTGCAGATTTTGGAAAAATGGGGTTCCATTCATCATCTGCGCTGACATGAAAAAAAAATCACGTATAAATGGATTTTCCTAACAACAAAACAGATGGTTGCCCAAAAAGGGGTCACTAGGAGAGAGGGGTTAGGGCGAAAACGGCCAAAAAATTCGTGTCTGATTTAAAATCAAAGTAAAAAAAATACAACACACTTTCATCTAACTGCTTTTCAACGTTAACGTTAAGTACGTGAATTCTTTCTCTTCGGAAAGTGCGCAGCTTCCGAAGCTAGCACGCAACTTCCTCCATGAAATCATGGAATTTTTATTTTTAAATTTACAATACCAGAGAAGGAGAGAGAGATGCAATTGCGAAAAAGCAAGATCGTGCTGGTAAATAATCTCCTTAAATTAACACGAGGGGTTCGGGAATCATTGAACAGCGAGATAAGGTCGAATTCTCCACATTATTCCCCAGCGGCAACTCCAATCTTCACAGCAAGATAAGATGAAAAAATGCAAATGCAAGATGGATGCAAAAACTTCTGCTTAAGTATTCGCTTTGCTAACGCCATGAGGCCAGCGATGCCGTGACTAAGGATGATCCCAATTAGATGGATCGAATTCACACGTTTGGGTGTCCACGTTGAAGAAGCTCGTGTGAAATTTCTCCTCACCCACACGAACGCCATCAGTGGATGCAGCAACTCCGCATTTGGCACCGATTCTCCCCTCTCTCACCGCCACGTTTCTAGCTTCTGTTTCTCACTGAAGTGTCAATCCCACACCCCCACTGGTCCACCTCCAGCTACGACTGGATCCACGGAGGCACGCTTTGCTGAGAGCTGTGAAACCAACAACCAGTTTGCCTCCCTGTTCTGTCGAAACCAACACAACCCTTTCATCAAAGTTTCGAGGCATCTCCATGTTGTTCAGTTAAAATACCGGAACCCTATCGATTTTTCTCAATAAGTCGTCCCTCAGCATTCTCTTCGGTAGTTGTGCTTGGAACACACACAGCTGAGATACAGGAAGGTTACTGTTTACGTCGAATTTACTATTTTGAACGACTTGTACGCTGCGATTCCCTTGTTAGCCATCGCTCCCTCCGTGGGAGAGATCAGGAAACTCGACAAGGAGAAAATGAGACGGCAGGCACCAGACTACTTACTCCACTAAATAGTAGCAACCAAGTCGTGGAGAACCTGATTTCCTCCATACCAACAGACGGGAACGGTGAACCGAATATCAGCGGTTTGCATTCCCTTCTTGGGACCTAACGCACCACAAACACGAAAGAAACCAGCGGAATATAGCGCAATCATTCTTGTGTTTAAGCAATTGGCAACAGAGCAGCCGTAACTACACGATTTACGCTCATCTTTTACTCACAATTGCCAGCTCACCGAGAAAAAAGTCGAGGCAATTGGGGAAGGTGGATTTAACCAAGATCGGGGTGAACACGTGGGACCTCGTTTGCACAAAGTAGTCGTCAAATTACACAACTCGCCTTTTGAAAAAACTACCAGCACAACCACTGCTGGCTTGGCAGAGGGTTAGTTCTGGCTTATTTAAGTTGGCGATTACGCAAATAACCAACAAAATCCACCTAAGAGATGCGTTTTAAATTCGGAGCGCTATTTAAACCGACATCGACAGGGGGCTATTTGCACGGTCAAGTGAGACGCACGAATGTGAGCTAATCGGATTCACTGTCACGGCATGAGGCACGAAGAAGTAGTAGTAGTGAAGGGTATGCAATCTTTCAATGTATTTAATAGCAAGGTTCTGGTAAATATCGATTTTGAGGGCCTCGTGGGGCTGCGCACAGCCTGGCAGCCAATCAACCGCGTCTATCAGGATGGACAGGATTATTCACCACAGTCACTTCCCGGAATTCCTCCAGATAGGGTCCAGGAGGGAGGATTTGAGGGCGTAGGTGCCAGGGGATCGATTCGTCGAACGCTTCTTTGGGGTAATTTGGAGTCACCCTGGGCCAGGTTTCACTGCCAGACGTCTGGGATGCGATCTGGCCAGGTCTCGAATCGCCACGCTGATTGGTTGGAACGCGTGGACCGCTGACACCATCCACTCTTCTCATTGGTCCACCATCGATTCGCGTAAATGCGGTCATGCCACACTGCTCTGCAGACGTGCCTCGACGCTTGCACTTCTGAATTATGTCGAACACCTCGTTAATACGTTCGAAGATTTGCAGACGTGCCAGGTCTAGCTCTGACGAAGGGTTACGTGACCTCGGGCTTACCATGTTCGCTAAGGCAGCGTTTTTCGCGGCTGTGCGACTCCGTCTCGCCAATCTGCTCCGTCAGCGGCTAGAAGTTGGGAGGGGCCAACATGAGAACAACTGGCCTACCTTCGACGTCACAACCATCACCCAGATACAGCACACAATGAGGACGCCGGATGGATTCATGCTTCGTCCAGTTGACATGGCGAGCTGAAACCTCAGGTGGGTATTTATACGTGGAGGTGAGCGTGCGTACTTTTACACCGCGGGTAAACACGGTGGACAAAGACAAACAACTGCCGCGGCGACCGCGTGATTCGAGGTCAGGCAGGTACAGCGTCAACTTCGTGGTCAGGCGCAAACGGTGAAAAGAGGTCTCGAATTCGACAGTGAGTGGTATTCGAATACAGCAAAACAACAACAGCTGCAACACATTTCAGGGAAATCCACAACTGCGTCTTCACGGGCCTTTGAGTGCGTTGACATTGCACCTTCAGCAAGAAGAGACCTCGACTGTGTGGATATCGTGACGTAGTTTCTTCACTATGCTTCATTGAACTTGGAAACTCCTCGTAGATCCTGAAGGTCAATGACTGGTGGAACACCAGGTCTGGTGCCTACGTGCCCACGGCGTGGCAACGAGCGGAATTTGAACGTGCCCCTTCGCCATCTCTCTCTCTCCACAACCGGTCGAGGGCAGTGAACATGGCCCACCCTCTGGGTTTTGACAAATGCTCATCTACCTCCCAACCCGTGGCTAGGGGCCTCGTCCAGCCCAGCCGATTTATGTCGCACAAGAGTCCGGCCCCCACTGCGGGTGTAATTTACGGCCTCTTTCAGCTGGACGCGGGTACAAAGTGCAAATTAACCCTGGCGTGTTCACGTCTCGACACGCAGCCCGACCTCCTACCGCCAGGCCCGAAATCTCCAGCTATCGACAACCACAACGCTTTCAAGGGCAGCCAACACCTTAAGCAATTCCTCAATGCATTCTATTGGCTGTTCTATTCACGACAGGGAGATCAGTCTCTCACTGAGTACATTTCCCGATTTCCCGAAATCCCAACTTGATTGAGGTGATGACCTTTGTCCGGCTCGTCACCCGATTTACATTGTCCACTTCGTCTGACGCAATTCGCGGCAACAATGCCAGGCACACTGATGACACAATGATTCCCCTTGCACTGGCAACATCGCCCACGTCTTGCTGAGATCTTACCTGCTGTGAACCATTGAAATTCAGCCAAGTTGTTGGGTAAAGTGACAACATTTCACAGAAAATTTCAACTGTGCTGCTGCCGTTTCTCCTTTCATCGCATTGACAAGGTGAGACGGTGGCAAGTGGATTGTGTTGCTTGCTAGCGTGCGTCCGCTCGCCTCTAAGCAAACACCACATTTTTAAAGCAACTTTAGACTTTATAGAATGCGAAATCGCAAACTGGAATTTTGTGGTCGAATTCGTCCATCATGTTTGAGCTTGCTTACACCACATGATGACCCCAGTCGGCCTA